ATGATAAACTAGCCGCGGTTGTTTATCAGACAAAACTAGTAACTTCGATGACTTTTAAGGAGATTTATGTAAAAAATAGTGGAGTTGGGAGATTTATATAAAAACGGTGGAGTGGAGTTGGGAGTTGGGGGTTTGGATGTTGTACAATACAAGCACACACATCTTCAGATTATTTAATAACGAAAGTCTAGCAAGTCGGGCTTCGGATTAAATGCAGAGCCCAAATTAACTTCCAAATTAACATAGAAGTAAACAAGAAGTGATATATTGGCGTAAGACGCGTAAGACTGAACGAGTGCTTAGGGGATTGAATATAAATTGGTTTGAACTTGGATGGATTGCAATATGTGAATACGTAAAGGGATAAACTATAAATTGGGTTGACTTTGGATTGATTGCATCACGTGAATACGCTCTTCAGTCAATCTCGGATGGATTCAACTTTAGTTATGTAGTTTGTCGATATATTTTTTAAAATGTTTTTAAGAATTGCGTGGAGGACCAAAATTACACTCATCCATAACTTGTGATTGCAATTACATAATGTCAAAATTATTTTTGGAATTGTGAAAAGAATATTAAATTAATTTTCTTTTCAGAAAGAAAAATATTGCAATAATTTATATTGATTTGGAGGTGTCAAAAATCGGTGCATGCAGGAGACAGCTCTTAACCATGTGGCGAATTCAGGGGTAGCTGGAGACGGGTTTGGGGTAACCCGTGAGATGAGCCTAAGGAAACTCATTTGGGTTGTCACTCGCATACAAGTGCAAATTGACAAATACAGTTCTTGGTAAGTTCTCATTTATTTGCATTCACTCATTAAATAAGCACCTAATTTTGAATTGTGGCAGTAGCTAATAATATGAGTTCCTATATAGACTTTTGTTATCACACATAGCACTTAAGCACAAAATGCTCAGAGTATTATCAAGCACTCTACATCTCTCCAGCATACACCTACTTTCACCTCTTGCACAAGCAAAATTCATCTAAATAAATTGATGAATCTAAAACTTTTAAAAGAAAAAATTCCAAAACTTTTGCTGAAATAGGGTCTCGGGGATTGGGGTGCAATTGGATATATTTTCATTTGAGAAAAAAATTATATTGGGAAAGAAGTTAGGGGAAGAATTGATGATTTCAATAGTTATAAAGTGAAGTGACACAAAAAGTATTATTTAATACTGATGTGATAAAAATTGTAAAATGGTGATTGGTAGTTATATATTGATGAGTGCATTAGTAGTAAATTTTATAGAGAAATGTATAAAGATAATTGATTCCAGCTCTAAAGGTGGGTTTCAAGATAAGCCATGTGTGGTTCGAGAAAAAGAAAATATTGTTTGAGTCCGAAATACTCTTATATAGAACTGGCCAATTTATCAAAGTCGGGAAAAGTGAGGTTGTGGTGGTCGATTTGGGAAAATGGTTTAGCTAGGAGGCTAATGAAGAAAAAAATAGTCTGCATAACAAATTGAAAAATGGACATAGCTTGGAGGGGCGAATGTTTTCCCCATAATCTTTTAGCATAAGCATTAGTATCCTTATCATTATAATTAAGTCAGTTTATAGCTTCGTTAATAAACATAATTTTAATAATCGGAAGAAACCGGCCTTTTTGATTGAGAATCCGGTAACTTGTTGGAACGAACCCCGATTTTGCTGTTAAATCAAGAACCGAACATTGACAAGTTGAACCGGCAAAAAATCTGCCGCCTTGACCCGTCGAGTTATTATTTTCTTCTTTTTTATTTTTCCTTTTTGAAAAGTTAGTTTTACTATATTTTTAATATTAATGAAAATATATAATTAAATATGTTGGATATGTATAACATATTATATTAAGTTAGTTTAGGCATTTGAATGCTTTAATCTTTCTAAATATTTATATGCATCATGTATATTTAAAAAATATAACTAATTAAATACCGTCCAAGCGATTCAACCATTGGTGAGTTGTGACTTGTGAACCATTAAACTTGTAGCTTGACATGTTCGATGACCGACCAGGCTATGAAAACTTTATGAATAAGTATAACCCATACAAAGTCAATATACAATATTTGTTATTTAGGACCCGGTGTAGAAATTTTATCATAAAAGTGAATTAAATTATTCAAGAGCATACTCTTTACAATATTGATTATAGCCTTAGGCTATGTTTGGTAACTGTTTATAAGCTTCATGTATTCAAATATTCAAATAAGCTTCGTTTGTGTGATAAACTTTTTTTAAAAGCTTGAGCTTATCTCATAAACTTCTTTGGGTAGCTTTTCAAATAAGCTCGTTGAAATTTTTATTTCAGTTAACTTAACATCAATTAAATTTGTCTAAATCTGTTATAAGCTTGAAAATCACTTATAAGCTATAAGCTAGTTTATCAGCTAACTTATATTTTACCAATGGTTGGTTATGGGTTCAAACCTCATTGCAGAGTATTTACACATCTTGGATGGGCAGTGTTTGGTTATGGAATTAAAACGGGTAAACAATAGATAAATAAACCTAAATATGCATCTTGGGGAAAAAACAAGAAAAAAAAAACACTATGGAAAAGGTTAACACTATCCATTGTAAAATATGTTTTAGTACTAGTATTCATTCAGATGAATATAACAAACAGAGAGATAGCTGCATATCATGAAACTAAAGAACAAAGAAAATTAGAACGAAACGAAACCTATGGTTCGAACTAAATATTTATGAAATATCATATGAATGTTTTAGTATTATGCATAATATTAAAAATTTGGTGACAGGGGAGATGTTGTAGAGGTAGATACTTGGGTTGATGCTGCAGGCAAGAATGGTATGCGCCGTGATTGGATTATTCGTGACTACAACACCCAAAATATCATTACACGAGCAACCAGGTCTCTCTCTCTCTCTCTCTCTCTCCTGTTCTAGAAAATGACTCACTTCGAAAAACACGTTAGGAAGTTTATAGTTGGAGAAAAAAAAGCTTCACATTTTCATAATAGAGAAGTTTAAAAACTCTGCCTAACCATTTTAAAAAGTTAAGATTGAACTCTAGTAGATTTTTAATCTTAAATTTTTGTAGGTTGTTCTCGGAACATGTAATTGTTTTGATCTTTTTAGCTTCAAAACTATTTCCCTGTTTTTGTTTTGTTCTCTCAGTACATGGGTGACAATGAATAGAGAAACAAGGAGGCTAAGTAAAATCCCAGATGAAGTAAGAAGTGAGTTGGTCCCCTTTTACCTAAATAGGCTTGCAATTGCATCTGAAAACACCGACAAAGAAAATATCCCGAAGCTCACTGATGATATTGCTGGAGAAATTCGTACCGGCCTGGCTGTAAGTATATATATGTGTGTGTGTATATATATGAAAATGGAATTAGGAGAAATTTATCTTTCAATTAATTGTGATTCTATTTTTCTATATTTTTTGAGGAGATTTTGTAACAAATTTATTGCTTGCGTCTTATTTATCTGAAAAACTTCATTTGACTCAGCCTCGATGGAGTGACATGGATGTCAATCAACATGTAAACAACGTTAAATACATAGGATGGATGTTGGAGGTATGTCTCTAGCCCTAGAAGATTTTTTATTTTTTTAACAAATTACATATTTAATAAATCAAATAACTATAGCAAGTTAATACTGCCTGAAACCTTATTATTTGTAATTTATAGCAAATCACGAGTTTTTTCTATTATTATTTTTTCTCTAAAATAGATAAAAGTTTATTTACGTCACTAGTCGCTGCTCATTTAATTTCTAAAGGATTTTTTTTTTTCCACCAATTTATGGCTTTTGTATAGCTAAATAATTTCTGCATGTTAGCCATGGAATATCTATTGTATTCGTCGAAAATAATTTCAGAATATAATATGATAGCGCAATTTAATATTCTCATGTCTTATATCATTTATATGTTTTTTCTTCCCTTCTAATTTACATGATCTTTCTCATAATAGGACTATCTACAACAAACATAGAGCTAACTGCAAATAAATTCATAAGTGGAAAACGTAATTTATCTCCAACATTGGTTTTAATGTGCAGAGTGTGCCCATAAATGTGCTCCAAGAGTATGATATTACG